ACTATTGCTAATTATATATAATATGAAATTAGTAAATATCTGCATTTTATATGCACGAAAAATATTTGACGTATGATTGTTCTTGGGAATTATTTTTATACAGGTTGTACTCAGTCCCTTACCGCAATACTCTCTTTAAGTTATTAAATAAAATAATATATTAGTATTATGACTAATATGATTATTTAAAAATTTGAGAAAAGTAAAATTTGTAATCATTAGAAACCCGTTAGTACATCTGGATTTTCCGTTCTGTAGACATATGGGTTTATGAAATGAAAGATATAAGTTGTGGTTATCAGAGCAATGCAACCACTATCTCATGAATTATTTTTTCGTCATGAAAGTTTCGAAATTTTTGTTATATTTTAAATAATTTTGTAGCTCAGACAGACATTTAACAATGAAAATATAGCAAAAGAATAGTAAAGTTTTCAAGAATTATATCCACAACAATATATCAGTTAAAATATACAACAGTATTTTATTTTTATTTTTGGTGAATGAGGTATCCAACAGTTTTAAAGGAACATCAAATTGTCATTGCTTTCTGCTTCGCATACCATGTCTTTCTATATGAAACTTTGAAACCATAAGAATGAGTTATCCTCTCCTGGACCAGCGCAATTGACAGTGATGGTTCCCTTTTTATCATCTCTGACAAACAAATTGTAATATATACATTAACAGAACTACAGGTATATCAACCAATTTTTAAATATAGCATAATACTTTGAAATAATGTACCTACTACAAGTGATGCAATCACGTCAGAATCAATTGTCTATGATCTTGAAAAATATGGTCATTCAACCAGTTGTGATCCCCACCCCATTTCGTTACCTTCCAATTTTCACCATACGGTGGTTTAATTACCCTGATCCTCCATGCGCAACCTTGCTCGTGCGTGCAACATTTCATGCTTAACTTTATAGGCGTGCTCTCCACCATAATTTCTTCTTGATGCTCTTTCACGAGGTTACGCTTGATTGTCATCTGAGCCTCTTTTTTGGATGTAAATTGATGGTTAACAAACCACTTTTCCCCCAATTGCCATGGACCTTGGATTGAACCCGAACTCTGGGTACATAATTCTTGTTCACTCAGATGATCCCAATCAATATATGTGTAATGTGGAATTTCAAACCAAAAAGGAGCAACGGGTTCATCGCCTGCATGTACTACGTAATAATAATAATAATAAACAGGAATTAATTACATCAACAAAATCGCACTACGCAAATATTTATAGTTGTTACATATAGCATACCTTCAGGATGTTCTGGTACTTGACTCGATGTTGAGTCATGATGTACTACGATACTAGACTCCCCCAAATCATGCCATGGCTGAATTTGAGTACCGGACCTGCCACATTCTTCGTCATTGTCCGATGCACTCGCATCCTCTGCAAGAAGACGATCCTCCATTGCGATATTTTCCTCATCATCATCCTCATAAGTGTATAGAGGATAGGTGTATAAATAGGCTGTAGTTGGGTCACTCACACCCTGGTTGGGCATGATCTCCAGCTGGAACATGCCCCATGTGGGCGTGCCTCTCTCATAGGTCACGCCCCACATAGGCGTGTCTCTCTCCTGTTGGTTATGCCCCATGTGGGCTTGTTTCCCTTGTAGGTCACGCCCAACATGAACGTGTCTCTCTATTGGAACACGCCCCATATGAGCGTGTTTGGCTGCTACATTTGTGTAATTAGTTTCAAAACAATTACATTTGCGTAATTATTTATTAAAAAAGCAATAACTTAATTTTTTTGCCTATCAGAGCAACCACTATCTCATGAATTATTTTTTCGTCATGAAAGTTTCGAAATTTTTGTTATATTTTAAATAATTTTGTAGCTCAGACAGACATTTAACAATGAAAATATAGCAAAAGAATAGTAAAGTTTTCAAGAATTATATCCACAACAATATATCAGTTAAATTGTTAAAATATACACAACAGTATTTTATTTTTATTTTTGGTGAATGAGGTATACAACAGTTTTAAAGGAACATCAATTTCACCAAAAAAATGATGCGAAAAACATGAACCTGTGCTCCAACCTTTTAGGCCAAAAAGTAACTTCCAGCACGGACAATGAGGATAACGATCTGTGTTCCAACCATTTAGCAAAAAAAATAAAAAAAAAATAAAAAAATTTCATCCCCACTCCAAATATAATTATCGGTAAACTGTGTATTGTAAAAGGCTAAGGCCAGAAGTCACTAATGTGGAAGGCGATTGATGTGGCTAGAATAGAGAGATGGAAAATGAGGTATTGACCCCATCATGAAAACATGAGGACAGAAAATTTTGTGAAAGTTTGGTTGATGTGGCAGCTTTGATTTGTTGACATTTTCACTCTACAATGCTTGATATTTTATATATTATTGTACTATATGTTAAGGGTTTTGGTAATCTCATGTAGCATAAGATGACTTATCACATGTTATAGAAATAAATTATGTGGGTTCTATTATTTTTAAAAATATCAAATAAATAAATAAATAATGGCACGACTTTTAATGTTTCACTAGCATAAGAAAGTTCTTTTCTTTAACATAAGATAATTTAAACCCATATATTAAACCTAGTAATTGCATTTAATTTAGAAGTAATGTGATTAGAGGTGTAAATATGTTAGGCTAGGCTAAGCGTTGACTTAGATAGATGAGCCCTCTGTAAGAAACTTTAGGTCTGGCTTGATAGCCTGTATAGACCCAGATTATAAATATGGTCTGCCCTATATTTAAAAAATAAAAATTTTGGCCTGTTAGGCTATTTAAGCCTATTAAACATTCAATAATTAAAAAAATAACTAAAATAATATTATTTTATTATTCAAAATTATTAAAATAATAATTTTATTTATTTTATTTAAAATAAATAATATGATATAGGCCGACTTGTAGGCTTATAGACCCGATATGTATAAAAAAAAGCTTATGGCCTACTTTTTAAATAGGTTTTTTAAAAAATCAAGGCCCGTTCTATTTGACTATTTGTAATAGGCCAAGTTTGGTCTAATATAGGCTAGGCCATAGACCCCTGTAGGTCAGTCTAGCTCATTTACACCCCTAAATGTGATTATTGAAAGAAAAATAGTAAATGTAGCAAGGACTCGGGGACTTGGTGCTGCATATATTAATAATACAGTCCAATAATATGTTCATATACAAACCTAATAAGTGAGAGCATGGTTATTTGGATCTATATGGGCTCCAGCCCAATAACTTGTATTATCTCTAAGCTTGAGATAACACTGTTAAGCATTCCAAACTTAATGTCTTTTGGTGTAATACTTCAAGTAACTCAAAACCCTTCTTTCTCAAACCCATAACTTCCAACAATTTTGAAGTATTAGCTTCATGTGTCGGATTTGAGCGAGTAAGATGTCTATTTAAAGATCTCATCAAGAGGAACACATGTTTTAAATAACTTTCGCGATTCGACAGAAGGATTTTCCAGTATCTGAGTTTGAAGATACTGCAACTGCAACTTTTTGGTCCAGATTCCAAAAATTTCAGCCAGTCTCAAGAAGTGAAACCTACTGAGCTTTGTTCTAATCGTTGAGATTATCGTTTTGAGTGGTCACTCGCCATAAATGGAGATCGGACAAAGAAGATATGATGATATGAAGTTTTTGGTACATTTTCCTGCAAATTTTAATAACTGGGAAACATTGAGTTTTCGGCAATAAGGATAGTCCATCTTAAAGTTTTTAGGCCCTCCGAGTATGTTTGTGGGGTCTGTTTTGGCAAATTCCAACTCTGCAGAGCAATTTAACAAAAAATAGAGTATTTGAAATCCGTGGACTACAAGATGCACTCTTTCTAACTTTTAGCTCTGATTAAAAATGATTAAATGTAGTTCTTATGATATTATAAAAATGCAATCATTTGATGTTATTAAATTTTATGGTTAAAAATTACATGTTCAATTTGGCATAAAAGAAAGTGAAATATTGTATAATGTATTAAATGATTTTGCATCTATTATTGAAAAATGTGGATAAATATCAATGAAACAAAAATGAAGATTTTTATAGATATTATTTGCTAAATACTTCATGACCGAAAGGTCATGGGTTCGAATCCAGGAAACAGTCTCTTTGCAATCCATACTGGATTCAAATTCAGTATAGATTCAAAAATCACTAAATTAATTGAATTAAAAAACACGAGTACAAGCTAAAAAATGATAAATCTAATATGTCTAAATTTTTTTTATCAGTCTTATATTAAGTAAACTACCTGTTCAATGAAATTTTTTTAAGACTAAAATGCATAGACTAAAAAAATAGAGTAAAATTGATGAATTAAAGAGATTTATTTATATCAACGATCAAAACCGTTCTCTCAAAAAGTCATTGCCTCCAACACTTGGGATACTGTTTGAATGATATCTTTGAGTTGCCTTACATTTATATCTTCAGTAATTTTTGAACTAAACTAACCTAACATGGACAAATATTTTCATTGCATCTTCAGCAACACGAATGCACGTACAAAGAGACAGGTTCATCAAGAATTTTAATACAGAAGTGACATACTAATGTAGCTAGATCCCCCTACAACTCAATTTCAAGCAAGATTCCATTAAAGCAATTTGTTGCCAAGGTTCCCATATAAGATTAACCACCACAAGAGACTCATGGGTTTGTCCCATTCACAGGCAAATCGAAACATTAAAAGAAACCCCTACCCCTGTCAGCTCCCACATTACAACAATCCAAAATGTTGGCATCATATCTAGCAAACAAGATCCAACTCTGATACTTAAATGTGCATTTAATTCCAATACACGTCAGAGAATAATGCGAACATTTCCATAGTTCAAAACACAACACCACCCTAGTAATTAATTACTACAACCAAGAAATAAACACTAAAGAGTAGTTCAAAGCCAATAACGGAAACAAACACTGCTTCAGAATACAAGACAATAAAAGTCTAATCCTAATAATAGTCAACGCTTGGAAAAGTCAAATAATCCTAATAGCCCCACATGCAATCAAGCTCGGATGATTCCAATGCCATGCCGGAACCACCATCAGCCACCCTTTGCTCCTCCGGCATTGACCAGTTCACGACGGCGCCGCCGCAACCGGGAATATCACCGGAACCACCACCATGAAGCTGAGCCACCGGGGAGAAAAAGAAAGGCAGCTGAAGGTTGTCTTGGAGGGACCTAAGGCTTGGAAAAGCAGAGACACCAACATTTCTTTGGAACCGAGCAAAAGGGTCGAGAGTGAAAGCTTGTGGCGGAGGAGAAAGATCGAAGCTTGCATTGTTGGCTGCAGATATTGTGGAGAAACAGGACACGTGCTCCCTTTCGGTGGTGCTGTCGTAGGAACAGTTTTGACGGTCGTTGAAGGTTGTTCTGTTGGTGTTTGTGTAGGGAGAAGAGTCAAGCAGAGGTGGAAGATAAACTGAAGATGGAGAACTTGGTTCAGGGCAGAGGCTCGTGGAAGCAGAGTTGGTAGTGCTTGTTCTTGTCTTCTTGGAGCCGGTGGTGGCAGACACGGTGGAGCCACCACTGCCGCCGGTGTTGCTCTTTTGAAACACACGAGATATGACCCACTCATCCTTCATGCACAACACACCAAAATTGAAAGTGTCAGTGTTCCCAAACCCAAAAACAAAAGGAGAGTAAGTCAGAAAGAAACAACTGCAAAAGAAGTGTGAAAATGGAATAATAAGTATGTGTTGTTGTGTATAACTGTTCTTAAAAGTGCTTTTGCTAGCAAAAGCTGAATGCTAAAGCTATTAGAATCTTCTGCTTCTTAGCAGAACTACGGAAAAAGGGTAGTTAATGGAAGATGACTTTAAATAAAAGTGTTAAACCCTATGTGAAATGAAACAGTAGTGGAAAAAATGATAGCAGGGAACTTTTTTTATAAACACACTGTTGTAATCAAGTTGAAATTAATGCGTCATTGTTTATAGTTCCCATACACTCTCACATGTATTCACAAATCACAAAACTAAGAAACGTTTCCATGCACCATCAGGTAATAACCGTTGGCCACATGTTAAACAGTTTAATGAGCAAAAGATTGATGAACCCTGAAGTACAAAATCATAATGGAGACCCAAAAATCGGAAACAAAAAGAAAGAGACAAATCACCAACATTGATAAGCGAAACCTAATTATAGAAGGCTAAGTTACTTCACTGTAAAGTGTAAGTGTCTAAATGTGGCTCATGATCAGAACAAAGTACACATGAAAAGAGTAAGGTAACAATACTATTCAAGAAGAGTGGAGAAAAAGAGATGAATTAATGAAAGAGTGACCTTGGAATTCCGAGAGAGATAATGGTAAGCAAATTTGCCTTCAAGGCGATACTCATGCATAACCCAGTTACTCTTTTCACCTTTTGGAGCCCTTCCTCTGTAGAAAACAAGGGTTTTCTTCATGCCAACTAAGGAGCAAGTTTTGGAGCTATAAATCTCTCTATCTTTTCCAGTGGCTTTCCAATAACCAGCTTCTGTAGCCCTATTGGTACGTAGGCCAGTTGGGTACTTTCTATCACGTAAGCTGAAGAAGTACCACTCTTTCTCACCCATCTTTGCTTTCTCTGCAAAGAACAAAACACAACGGTTAACTTCAATAATGAAATGAACATGGAGGCAAGGTAAAAAGGAGAGGGTTTACCAGGGAGTTCCCATGGTTCACACTTGTTGAGGTCAACTTCAGCTATGGCTCTTCCAGTGAAGGTACTGTCTAGAACCTTCTTGAGAAGGTAATAAGTGATGAGTTCCTCATCCGTGGGGTGGAACCGAAAACCAGGAGGCAAGTGAGCATCATTGTTGTCAAGGTGGTGGTGGTGATGGTGATTGTGATGGTTGTAGTAGCTGCTGTCCATCAAAGATGAAAATTGAAGACCAGAAAGAGGTTTTCAAGTAGGAGAATTCAATTTAAACAGAATGAGAGAATCTTGGTTTCTAACACTTGATGGCTTTCATTATATATATAGGAAATGGTAACACCAAAGCTAAGGGAGAAAAGAAGCAAAATAGTGAAAGGAATTTTATGAGTTGGGTTTTCACCTTTCTTCTTTTCCACTTTGCTTCTTGTGGTTTTTGGTTTGGTTTGGTTTGGTTTGGTTTGAGTTGAAGGAAGGGTGTGTGGTTTATAAGGGTTTCATGGGGATTGGCAGAAGGGAAAAAGTTGAAATAATAAGTTATGATATGGCTGGAAAAATCTCTGTGTTTTCTCTGCCCTGTCCTCTTTCTGATATCTCTCTCTACTCTTCTGACAAGGTCCTTATCATAATCCACATAGCTAGAGAGAGAAAGAAAGAGTGATGTACGAGGGAGTGGGCTTGGCTTTGAGTATGCGTGCGTGCGTGAGGAAGTGTGCAGGTATTCCTTTGTCAGTGAAAAAAAAAAATATTGTAAGAAAAAGGGAACAGAAAGTCGTTTTATGAGAGGAAGAGTTACTTTGGCGCCTTTGTATGTGAGAAGCTAGAAGAAAGAAGAAATTTTGAAATGAAAAAAAGAATAGCAAAAATAACAAGGAGAGATTTTCACCTTGTATATATATTTCGATAAGGCTGTTTCATATCTTCTATGTCAGCACAGTACAATTTTTTTTTTATATAATCAGAAACACCAACCGTGTTTATTACACGCCAACTTCCTCACTTTTTATTTAGGATTTTATTAATCTTATCTTAAATGAGATAAGTTATCTCATGTCATAGAGATAAATTTGTGAGCTTCACTACTTAAAAAATAAGAAGAAAAGAAAAGACAAAAGTAACACAGTTATCAAAAAATATGTAGGAGAGAAAATTATCACATATAACATAAGAGTAGTTTTTCTTTTTTATTTATGTAAAATTTGGTACACTTAAAAAAGTTAATTTTATCATTGTGAGTTTTGGTACCCTCTGAAACAGAAAAAGTTATTTATACGTACCTCTTCACTGTTTCTGTTTATAAGTACTTTTGTGTTCTGTTTTTTGGTACCTCTGAAACAGAAACAGTTTAAACCCAAAGTGAAGAGTGCATTCTATTCTCCTTTAATAATCCCTTATAATACAAAACTATTATTTATTTTCATTAATGATAACTGAACAGTTTATATGGGGAGTTGCAGATACCTTTTGATGAATGATGCAGTGCTACAGTTGGTGGCATACTTAACACAAATAAATCTCTTTTTTTTTTGGAAATTAAATATCCTTTTGAAAGCGAGGTAAAAATGAGATATAATATAACCATCATCATTTTTTTTTTTAAGTTGTAGCTAGGAGTGTCATAAGTTTTCCCCACCTCGTTTTCCCATCATATTATAGGCATGTGGTAGCCTTCAGGGGTGTTTGTTTCAAGTTTTTGGAGAGGATTACCGGTAATCCTTCTTTGGTAAATGTAATTATCACGTTTGGTAGAAGGAATAAATTACGATTCCCGAATATCCAAAGATTACCGGTAATTTGATTTATAAAGAAAAGTCACTATTCAGATTACCAAAAATAATATGGTAATTCGACATACCAATCAGAATACCAAGTAAAGGGAAAGCACAACAATAAATTTTGAGACAAAAATACCCCAATACACATAAAAATCTAGACTCAATCTATCAATTACAAAAGTAAAAATAGTTTGGGGTTATTTTTGTAAAATAACCTCATATTCCAAGTCATATTTCGTTCTAAACCAAATATGGAATCAGTAATTTTTACTCAATATTCCCGGTAATATTTTGGCGAACCAAACACCTATTTCGTAAGATTCCAAGTAAACTCAATTTCTACTCCCATTAATCATGATTCCCGGTCACCAAAAAATTTCTCTCGTACCAAACACACCCTTATTGGTATCCGTTGTTAAAATCATTTTTGGGTTTAAATTTTTTATTTTTTTTTCCTCTGAGCCTTTCTGATCATGCTTCTTTCCTTTGAAGAAAAAATTTGTTTCTTCACTGTAAAAATCTAGAACCATGTGAGTTGGAGATTCATATTCCAAAAGAGAAATGCTGAGTAACTCTGCATTACCATGATAGTTAGCAGGATTTGCATGACATATCAATGGGGTTGATTGATACATTTAACTGTTCTATCATAATCATAACCAGTGGAAAATTTATTTGTTGAAAGAGAAAAATACCTTCTTTTACAAAGTCCACAAAATATTCAATATCATCGTTTTTACATGACATATCAAAAATAGAAAGAAAAAGAAAATACTGAGAAAACAGAAACTCTTGTACCAGTGTGAATACAACCAAAACTAGAGAATTATTACTGCTGTATACACAATCTAATCTCAAGAGGGTATCGTGATATGCCACATGCACCAGCTTTTAATACCATAACACATTGGCAACCAATGACCATTCTCAGAACAAAACAAATGTTGCTGAAAGTGGGTATTTCGCATCTGAGAGAAAAAAAAAGTGAAAACAGAAAACCACAACATATAGCCAAGATTGATTCATTGATTTTACACCCTCAAAGGCCAATCACCTAAGACATTGGATATAATGTCTCACTTTTTGAGACTTCCTTTTCTCTCCTCATTAAATATTAGCCCTGGAAAAAATGGTACATCCATTAAAAGTCAAAAATAAAATAAGAGAGGGGGGTGTTATGTTTTCTTTTCACCATTTTCTAAACTTTTTTGAACTAGTAATTATGGGATTAATTGGCAGGCTAAACAAGGTGATTTTCAATTGAGGAAATGATTAATTTAAACATGAATGAATCCACTCAGTTATCCCATCCATCCAATCCATCACTATCAAAGAAACAAGGGATGCAAAGGGAGAAGGTGATGGTAGGTGGGTGTGAGAGATTGATGCCATGGGAATTTGACTCATCATGCTCGGATTTTGAGAACATAACCCATACAACAGGCTTTACATCAAATCAAATCATCTCTTCAATCTGCATGCTGAGGTCTTTCTCTCCCCCACCATCCCAACCCCACCTTCCTTCTCTCTATCTCTGACTCTCTCATTTCAACCATTGGGCCATTCCTGCATTGCCCAATTTCCCAAAGCCTCAACCTTCCCAATGAAAATCCCATTGCAAAATGTTAAGTATCCATTATCAAATATAATACCTTCTTTTTTTCTCTTTCAAGTTGTCAAGGCACTTTCTAACAGTGCTTCACATAAAAAACAAAAGCAAAAAATTCCCCCCAGGATTTACTCACACATGGATTGGCCTAACTTCCCAAGTTGCAACCTTTTTGGCTTGCAACTCACGGTTCCTCATGTGAAGTCCCTCTCATGCAACCTTCGAAATCAGAACCGGGTTCGGGTCGGATCCGGGTTTACCATACCCATCATAAAAAACCAAATTTTATATTTAAAGCTTGAAACTTTTTTTCAATTTTCATATCTGGGGAAAGTTGGAAATTGGAGATTTATTTAACAAAAAAAAAAAAATTTGACATTGAAAGCTGGTAAGACAACACAGAAACTCATTGCAGATGGTGATTATTGATTGATATTGATGGACACGAACTGAACCGGCCGGTCCAACGAATGAACCGGTGTCAGCTTCAGATATAGACAAACGGTTGCGGTTGACTTTTTAGGGTAAAAATTAAAAGGTGAGGTGAAAAGAGTGTCTCACAATTTCCCTCAAATGTTTTGTTTTTTTGTTTTTATTTTTTTTTTTTTAAAAAAAAAAAACCTGAAAAGAAGAAAATAAGAAAGAGAATGAAAAAAGACAAGAAGGCGCGTGGACCGAGAGAGATCGCAGATCGCGCGTGACGACAAGCTTAGGTCACACTCCGCCGCCCACCGGCTACGGCGCGTTGGGTTTCGAGCCGAGTCGATAAAAAGAGAGAAGTGGGGCCACACTTTATAATACGCAATAATTATGGGTAATAAATAATTTTCATTAAATTTACATATAAAATATCAGTATTTAATACATGAAGAATTTTAATAAATTTTATTCTTAGGGATAATAATTTGAAAACAAAATAATCAAATTCTGACTATAGATTGGTTTATGGGGCCATTTTGCGCCGTTTGATTAATTGATTGGATGGGTAGGGAATAGAGAGTAGGAGTACCAACTTGTCGTGTGTCGGTCGACTGGGACTCTGTTTCGTACAAAGTATGCACTGTTCCAAAGTCCAAATTAGGAATCAATCTTGTACTTTCTATTTTATAAAATAAAATAAAATTAAAATGGCTGGTTTGATTGTGTTTTATTTTTTTATTTTTAAAAGTATTTTGTATAATAAATAATAAAATAAATTTTTCTATTTTTTTTATTTTAGAAGTTAAGAATTAAAACACAAAATTAAAACCATTGAAATATGGGCATGTTTGATTTATGTTTCCAAAATACTTTTTTATTTTATTTTCTCAACCGATTCATCTTTCGAATTATATCTGATTTGAGCATTTATCAGATCCAATTAAAAAAAGTGATAGCTCTTTCAATTTTTTTTATTTTTTTTCATTTTCAAGACTCGAACTCATGACCATTAGTTAAATCCAAAATAACTTTGATATGAAGAAATATGAATCACAGACAAAACATCAATAAAGAAGTACCCTCTTTTGTACTCTCATAGAGAAATGACATGTTATTATGATTAATATGCAAAGTATATGCATATGTTTATCATCGTTGAGATTATGTAGGAAATGCATAGTTTATATGAAGTACATAATTTAAATAAAAAATTAGATTTAAGGTTAAAATATATTTTTAACCCTATCAAATCTCTTAGTATATTTTTCTTTAAAGGATAACACATATTACTCTTATATTTTTACCTTTAGCTTATATATTTACATGCCATACATAAATATCAAAATATTTTTTGCTTGCTAGTTTAGTTTAAAGAATGGAGGAGACATTTCCAATGCTAAGCTGCTTGTTATATT